ACAAAGTTTTTCATTCAATACAATCTGCTGGTTTTACAATGGCTCATGGCCGAAATATATACAAGGGAAGGGAAGGGGAAATACAATCAAATGAAGATAAATACAAAGCTATTTGAGTGTTTAATCCAAATAGGTAACGTACCAATGTTTGTGAATCATTTTCGTGAAGATCACATCTCATCAAAAGTTCTTCAAACTCCCGAGTATAGTCTTCAACTGAGCGGGGACCTTGCCTTAGATGTTGAAGTTTGGAAAAGTTGTCCCGTACATATTGTTCGGGCAGGAACTTCTTCTTCAACAAGCTCCTCATCTTGAGCCAAGTCTTCACAGGGGCCTTATTCTCTCGCCTTCTTTTGGTGGATAGGTTGGACCACCAAGTGGAGGCATACTTCCGAAACTTCAATGCCACGATCTTGACCTTTTTTTCTTCGGGCACATCTTTGAAGTCAAAGACGCGCTCAACAGTTTCCAGCCACTCTAGAAAGTCATCCGGATCATTTTTCCCTTCAAAGGTTGGTATGTCAACCTTGAAATCCGTAGCTCCTCGTTCATGATTCTCCTCTCTAGTGGTGTTACTAGAGTTAGCTTCGGGGTGAACTTCTTCGTCTTCTTCACTTTCCTCCGGGGTATTTACCATGCTCATCTTGAGCTTAGTGAGTTGGGCAACTTGCTTGGCCAAGTACTCAACTTGGGCCTTGAGAGCAGCATTGGAGGCTAGGAGTTCTTCGTTGGACAGGTTGTTGGAAGTGTTTGACATGATGATAGTAAGGGAAAGAAAGTAAAGGATATGGAAAGGAAGGAAAAGGGGAAGTGTGTTGTATGGCCTCAAGGGAATGCTCAACAACAAGCTCTGATACCAAATGTTATATCTAAACTATGGGTTTTATAGTTACAATCTCTTTATTTGCAGGGAAGGGGAGATAATCGATTGTCCTAAGTGGATAATCGATTGCTGAGGGCTTCAGCTTCTTGGGCGATTTCGGGGAATGTTCTGAGAAGGGAGATAATCGATTATCGGAGGAGTGTTAATCGATTATTGGAAGTTGCAGGATTCTGGGGAAGCTTGATAATCGATTATCTAAGAGTGATAATCGACTATTGAAGGCTGCAGGTGTTTCACGAAGGATGGATAATCGACTATTTATAGTGATAGTCGATTACTTGGCAGCGCGGGACAGGAAAAGAAGTAATTTTGGGAAGGGGAACAAGCCAAGTTGGTGTTAAGGGATATCACACACCCTTATCTTAACTTGGGGTTGAGTCTAGCATTCAAATAAGATATCACACACTTATTCAAATAACTAGAACCTAAAACTCACACTCAAGAGAACCACTCTTAAGATATAGGATTAGGAATTTGGAATGAAACACACAAGTGAATCACTTTGATTAAAAATGGAATGCAATGTGTTTCTACACCCAGGCCTATTGCTGAATATATAGGATTACATTGGAGGGAATAAGGGAAAATACAATTCACTCAAAATAATGCCCATGTGCTTATGTTTCTTAAGTGGAATGAAATCAGGGATATGGGTTGTTTGGTGGGGTTTTGGGCAGTTGCAGGAAATGTTGGGGGAAGGAGGGATGAATGTGGGAAAGGCTGAGGTTGAGGGCCAAGGAGTGGGGGTGAGATGAAGTGGTACATTTGGCTGGGTATTTGTGGAGGTTTTGGGGGAATTTGAATTTGGTCAGGGTTGGGAGACAAAGGGGTATGTGTGGGGTGTGTCATTTGGAGTTTTGTTGTAGGTTTGTTGTGGGGATTGGATGTATTATTGTGAAAGGAAAATATCTCTGGGCATTTTGGGTTATAATTTGAGTGTATTGGGGAACATAATGGGGACCATGCTGGGTGTGTTTTTGGACACTTATTTTCGGCATTGTAAAATAAGAGGAAAGGGAAATTGTGGCTTGGTTTTCTTTGGATTCCTGGGAATGGATTGTGAAATGTTGGGATTGGTTATTAAGGTGGTGATGGGTTCAGGGTAAGTATGGTTAGGGTGCATGGTTTGGTGATGATTTCATTCCAGAGGGGGTCATAACACTTGGACATTATTCCATTGATTTCCTTAAGGACTTGAGGGTGATTTGTGGTGC